TCATGTACTGCGTTATTTAGTTTGTCGGCACGTTCTTCTAGTATTATTGTGTTATTTAATGTGTCATAGTATTAGACTTTTCATTATGTAGTTATTTTCATTATTTGTGGTCATAATATTCAGTTTAATATTACGGACGTAGTGAAATGTGATCACGTGCTGCAAACAAAACCTAACAAAGTAGGGCATTATATAATTCAACACACACAACACATGAAATGGCATGTGAGAACATGTACCGAACTAGGGTATAGGTCCTGAACTAAACCTAACATGCCTTAGATAATCGAAGCGAACAACAAGCACATGAAATAGCATGTGAGAACATATACCAAACAAGGATACATAGTTCCTTCGACTAAACCTAACATGTCTTAGGTAATTAAACCAAACAACAAACATATGGATGTGCCATGTGAATAAGATAGGGTCGTCCTAATAGTATGGACACATAGCAAATTGTGTTGCACCTTCTCTCTGATAGCCTCCCATTGTTGGTGGTGGTGGTGGCGAGGGTGACGGCGAGGCCCCTTGTTCTTGTGATTAGGGCAGTGCAATATGGATCATTGCAGAGTGCCTCCTATGAACTTGCACCATTGTTGTTGTTGTCGTCTTCGTCTTCCTTGTACCCATTGCTAACTTCCCTTTGTAGATCGAAGATTTGGTCCTGCAGTAGTAGATGTACTTGCTAATGCGGATAAATTGGTCGAGGATCGACCCACCTAGTGAACCCACAGTTTTCTTCGGACTCGGAAGACTACAATAAGTATGTCCTATGAGTTGTAAGGATATTCGAGAAACATATTTAACAAACGAAATGTAATAGCAATTACCCATGCTCGCGGGCATTTGAAGAAGCGACGACCTCCGTCGATCCCCTCGGTGAACATCTACACTAATCAGTCCTCACCATGCATGCATGACATATGCTCACTAGTGATCTCTTTCCATAGCGATCTCTTTCCACGGTGCCTCCATGATATATGCTCACTAGGTTGTCCATCTATTTCATACATAAATCCAAACACATTTCGTTTAGTCCAAATTACGTGCCAACAACTACATACTAGGTAACTGCGCTAGCTTCATAAATAACATAATAGCTAGCTCCATACATGTCCAACAACTGGGTTATTACCTTATTATCACTACATCACCAACTAATTAAACTAAATAGGTTATCATAACTAACTAAATAGATAGCTAACTAAGTAAGTAAATAGTCTAACTAGGTTATCACCTAATCTCTAGATCACCAACTAATTAAACTTAATAGGTTATCACATTACCATACTAAGTACATCAATAAACTAACTACTACACCACAATTCAACCTCACTATCTAACTACATTGCATATACACGAAATTTACCTGTCCAACAATGGCAGTGCACGACGCACGCAGGAGGAGAGCGGAGAGAGACACCGGGCGCGGTGGAGGGACGTGGGGCGGGTGGCGGAGAACGACCTCACGCGTGCAAACATGGACATGGAGGACGAGAGGAGCGCGGCGCCCTGGCCCAAAGACCGCCATGGGCAGGCGGCCGCGGTGGCCGCGACGGCCGGTGAGGAGGCCGCCTCGGCCGAAGCCTTGGCGGTGGCGGTGGGCGGTGGGGCAGCCGGCCCGGCCGGGCGTGGCGTGGGCGGACGTCGGCGGGGGCGGTGCCCCCAGCCAGCATGGATGGGAAGGGCGCGGTAGCCACAGCGGGGGAGGCCGCCTCTCGGCGAAGCGGCGACGGCAACGGCGGGCGGGCGGGGGCAGTCAGCCAAATGAAGCGCGGCCGGACGGGGCGGGCGCGAAGCGCTGGGCGCGGCGGCGCCAATGGCGGAGGCGTCGGGCAAGAGAGAAGAAAGGAAGAAAGGAAAAGGAAAGGAAGGAAGAGAGAAAGGAAAAGGACCCACCTGTAAAGCCGGCTTGGCGCCAGGATCTATGGCGCTAAACTCGGCGCCAAGATCTACGGCGCCAAGCTTGATGCCAAGATACACAGCGCCGAGCTGGCTACCATGTCACCCCTGGCTCTACTTTGATGCCGACGTGGCGCCCCGACCTAGGCGCCAAACACTTTGGCGTCGAGACGTGTAAGCTCGGCGCCACCAACGATGGTGCCGAGGTAAGGGTCCAGATTTTAAAAGCATACCTCCAGGAGTATATTTGTGAAAAACTTTTTAAAAAAAAAGAGCCAAAAAAATAAAAAAATTCGGCTCCATGGATTACAAGAACCATCCTAAGTGCAGAACCCTTTTTTTTAGGTGAACGACGGGGGGTTTAAATGAACCCCACCTGATATATTGATACTACAGATACCGGAGTGAACCAGTTGGTGGTAGTGGTTGGCGCCTGAATACAAGATTCCAAGAAATACAAGAGGGATAGATGAGTTACATAGGCAAGTTATTACACCAAATAGCAGATCGACGAGGTTTGTTTCGGGGAAGGCAGCCAGAGCTTTGCTGATTCCCGGCGGCAGGCGGCAATAAGGCGAGAGTGGTCTCTGGAGCCATTGCTCTGAATACTACATCATGACGGTGCTTCCACAGTTCCCAGCAGATGAGAAGAAGGGTAGCGTGGGCTGACCGTGGCATGTCCACAGGCGCAGTGGATTCCCATAGGTGCTGAACATCTGCAACGTCCTCATCTCTCCACCCAATTCTCCTCCAAAACTCTGGCAAAGGGACAACCCCTGATTATGTGGTCAACTGTTTCCGAGCCCTGATGGCAAATGTCGCAGTTGTCTTTCTGGACCACTCTCTTCTGCAGCAAGGCAGCTTTGCAGTTGATCTTATTTTTAGTGAGGAGCCATCAAAGAACTTGACCCGAGGTGGGGCAAAATTGGACCAGACAAACTGTGGAACCCTGAAGTCTTCTAATCTCCAAACAAGCAAGAAAAGTTAGGGGGTGTTTGGTTTACGTTACTAAAGTTTAGCTGACTAATTTTATTCATATTTAGTTATTTTTTACCTAAACACTATAACTAAATGGGACTAAATGGGCATTTAGTCAACTAGTCACAAAGGGGTTACTAAATGGAACTAAAGCACAGGCTGCCTCATCTTTTAGTTACTTTGGAGCCAAACACCCTGACTAAAAGGGATTAAAATGCCTCTTTTAGTCTCTTTTAGTCCACTAAACCAAACAGGAGTGACTAAAGTTTAACAGCTGGTTTAGCTGGCTAAAATTTAGCAGCTTCAATCAAAATAGGGCCTTAGTTGGTGCGTATATTTAACCAAGGGATAGACTCAAAGTTCTCAAATGCAATGTTTTAATACTATTCTAGGAGTGAGGCAGCAAATACTCAATCAGGCACTATTCCCTTGCCGGCTACGTGCTGGCCCTCCGCAGCTGTGCCCGAGTTGCATGCCCCGGCGCTGGTTCTCCTACGCGCGCTTGAACGCGGCGGCGAGCGCGTTGGACAGCGATGACGCACGTGCCCTGCGTGGTGGGCGTGGAACTGGAACATGGCCGGTGGGTCGGCACGGGGCAGGTTATGCAAGTGCTTTGATGTGCGCCGAGAGTGGGCGGGCGGTTGTGCGACTGAACTAGCAGCCAGCGCGGACGAGGTGCGGCTAGGGCGAGGAGAGCATTTCTAACAGATTAGCCAAATTATTTTCTATAAGTTTTTAATAGACTCTGTAAATAATGGTCCAAATCTCTCTTTCGCTCTCTACTTTTGGATAGCCTACCTCGCTAGCCATCCAGCCTCTTGGCGCGATTGGTGTTTCTTGCATGCATGCTTTGTTAATCGGCTGTCCCTACATGCTTTGTTGATTGAATGCTAGTTGAATATGGAGTCCTGGTTTTACAGTCAGGTGGAGTACTCTAATATTTTTTTTATCAAATCTATTTTAGAGAGTAGCTAAATGAATAAATTTAGCTAGTTTTTTTTTTTTTTTCTAATCGAGATGCTCTAGCAGGCCGACATATAATGAGCGAATGAGACACGGCGGCAGACGGTATGGGGAGCAAGGAGCTGGATGGAAGAGAGGGAAAAGAGAAGGGGCTAATTGCATATATCCTCCACACTGGCTGTTCAATGGACAAGCCATGGCAGATCTAATTGTTAAAGAAAGAGGCATGGACCTCTGTTAAACCACTTAAAAAGTTTGGGGACCCAAACATAATAACATATATATACTTTAAAAGAGTTGATGAACATATATGACACCCCCTCAAAAGTTAAAGAACCTTCATTGTATTTTACTCTTTATATTTTGTCATATAGTTATTTGATGCTATAAATAACAATATTTTCTTTATAAAGTTGGTCAAATTTTTTCCTCAAAAAAAAGTTGGTCAAATTTTAAAAATGACCAAGAACAACTCTAAAACTTTATTTATTCAGAAACATAGTGAGTAATAGATAACCATGCATAAAGGCTAACTCACATGTTATTAGCTGGCGGCACTTGAGGTGAAAATGGTTGGAAAACGGTATTATTACAATATAGAAATAAAATAAAAATGGTTGGATAAAAAATTTTCCATATTTTTGTGAAAATGATAAATGAAAAATAGTTTTGAAACTAGCTAGTTGAAAATGGAAGTATTTATATTTGGCTAAATTTGAGAACAATAAAAATTGTATAGTATTTGTAATATAGAAAACGAAAACGGTTCGAATTTGGCCCGGCCCCACTCCACTTTCATGCTAGCGCACACAGTTGGCTGCATGATGTGCTCATTCTGCGCTCCCACATGTGCATGCTGCATGGTCGATGCGCTGCACACAGTTAGCTGTGGCACTGTGCATGCACGCGTGGTTAGTGCCGGTCCAGCACCATAAATACCCATCACGGGCTTGCCCTGTTCGGCCTCAAGCAGGAGCCTGCACACACAGCTAGCTAGCTGATTGGGTGATCGATCAGTGAGCTCTCTCTTTGGCCTAGTTAGCTGCTAGCAGTGCAGCTAGCCAAAGAGAACTCAGATCGATCATCACGGTCGCTGCTAGCTGCTCGCTCCCACACACACTGCACACACCGTCTCCGTGTTTGGTAATTTGACAATGGCGACAATGGAGGTGGAGGCAGCCGCCGCCACGGTGCTGGCTGCCCCCTTGCTGTCCTCCTCTGCGATACTCAAACTGCTGCTATTCGTAGTGACGCTCTCGTACCTGGCCCGAGCCCTGAGCCGGCCACGCAAAACCACCACTAAGTGCAGCAGCACAACGTGCGCCTCCCCGGGCGTTGGCAACCCGCCGCTCCCGCCCGGGCCCGTGCCGTGGCCCGTCGTCGGCAACCTGCCGGAGATGCTGCTGAACAAGCCGGCATTCCGCTGGATCCACCAGATGATGAGAGAGATGGGCACGGACATCGCATGCGTCAAGCTCGGCGGCGTCCACGTCGTGTCCATCACCTGCCCAGAGATCGCACGGGAGGTGCTCCGGAAGCAGGACGCAAACTTCATATCCCGCCCGCTCACTTTCGCGTCCGAGACGTTCAGCGGCGGCTACCGGAACGCTGTGCTCTCGCCCTACGGCGACCAGTGGAAGAAGATGCGCCGCGTCCTCACCTCCGAGATCATCTGCCCGTCTCGCCACGCGTGGCTCCACGACAAGCGCGCCGACGAGGCCGACAACCTCACCCGCTACGTCTACAACCTCGCCACCAGAGCCGCCGGCGACGTCGTCGACGTCAGGCACGTTGCTCGTCACTACTGCGGCAACGTCATCCGCCGCCTCATGTTCAACATGCGCTACTTTGGCGAGCCCCAGCCTGACGGCGGGCCCGGGCCGATGGAGGTGCTGCACATGGACGCCGTGTTCACCTCCCTCGGCCTCCTCTACGCCTTCTGCGTCTCCGACTACCTCCCATGGCTGCGGGGCCTCGACATCGACGGCCACGAGAAGATCGTCAAGGAGGCTAACGAGACGGTGAACAGGCTCCACGACACGGTCATCGACGACCGGTGGAGGCAGTGGAAGAGCGGCGAGCGGCAGGAGATGGAGGACTTCCTGGATGTGCTCATCACGCTCAAGGACGCCCAGGGCAACCCGCTGCTGACCATCGAGGAGGTCAAAGCGCAGTCGCAGGTAAAGTACATGCATGCATCATGTTTATTGACATGGCATGCATGCATGCATTGGGTAATCTGTATTTCGGTACATACATCTACATGAAAATATATATAATGAACTCATATCGCATGTGTACGTACGCACGCAGGACATCACGTTCGCGGCGGTGGACAACCCGTCGAACGCCGTGGAGTGGGCGCTGGCAGAGATGGTGAACAACCCGGAGGTGATGGCGAAGGCGGTGGAGGAGCTCGACCGCGTCGTCGGCCGGGAACGGCTAGTGCAGGAGTCGGACATCCCCAAGCTCAACTACGTGAAGGCCCTGCATCCGGGAGGCGTTCCGGCTGCACCCGGTGGCGCCGTTCAACGTCCCGCACGTCGCGCTCGCCGACACCACCATCGCCGGCTACTGCGTCCCCAAGGGCAGCCACGTGATCCTAAGCCGCACGGGGCTGGGCCGCAACCCGCGCGTGTGGGACGAGCCCCTGCGCTTCTACCCGGATCGCCACCTCGCCGCCGCGTCCGATGTCGCACTCACTGAGAACGACCTGCGGTTCATCTCCTTCAGCACCGGCCGCCGCGGCTGCATCGCGGCGTCGCTCGGCACCGCCATGAGCATCATGCTCTTCGGCAGGCTCCTGCAGGGGTTCACCTGGAGCAAGCCGGCCGGGGTCGAGGCCGTCGACCTCAGCGAGTCCAAGAGCGACACCTTCATGGCCACCCCGTTGGTGCTGCACGCCGTGCCGAGGCTGCCGGCGCACCTCTATACCCGGCCATCTCCGTCTGATTAATCGGCCGGCCAGTCATTATATTGTATGCATATAAGACGAGCGAGCCTGGCGTGATCACTTGCATTGCATTGCATTGCATGTATCATCGATCAGGCTCTCTCACGTGTACTGGATGCAATAAGATTTTCCGCGCTTGATTTTGTGGTTGTGCGTATTCTGCACACCGACCGTACGTAAGTGGCGATAGCGTTCAGATTTGTACCGAGTTAAAAAAATTATTATTATTATTATCCACAGTAATAATTGCATTGGAGCTTTGCTTGAGTGTGTCTATCTGGCTATCCACTCGTACATGGTTTTTTGTTTTGTTTATTATTATTATCGACATTAATAATTGGAGCTTTCCTTGAGGGGGAATATATGTACGTATCTTGACTGAAATTTGAGGGGGAAATATATATGTATGTATATATATGCCGAATTTCATACCATTAGATGTTCTAGAGAGAAATCACGCTCAACGCCTTCTCTATAGTGTCATTTTAGGATTAAATACTGCGCGTGAGAATGTGTGAAGAAATAGACTAACGATGGCAGGCTGTTATCTCGCGGCACCGCCTTTAGAAATACATTTTAAAATACAGTTAACAAGCAGCTAGGGTTCTCCTCTCTATTTAGAGATGCTAGAAATAGAACCACGTCTGAAAATGGAGGTGCCTATGAAAATTATTTTTTACTAGTGACGCAATCTCTATTCGTTAGTGTTGCCTAAGCCCCTAGGTATGTGCAGCCTCCCTTCTTCCTCACGCCCTTGTCAAATCAAGATCATGCCTAACTCAAATATATTTGTGGCTCCGGTTGAAGTAGATGCAAAAAAAAAAAACCAATAATTAAGGAGCTGCAAGTCGACATGCATATTTTACTTTATGTTTTATAATTATTTTCTATAATAATAACTTATATTATTATTTACATGTAGATTTGAGGAATATATTTTAAATTATGTTTTATAATAGTAGAGTTAGTCAATTTAAAAAAATAAACTAAATTATAATTTTACGTTATATTTCATAAAAACATACTCCCTCCGTACCAAAATAAATGTCATTATCACTTCCCGAGAAGTCAAACATTTTTAACTTTGACTCAATATCACTACCCCACGTGTGGGGGGTTCGAACCCGGATACCCACGGCAGACTACATGGGCTGCGCTGCCAGAGGCGGTCCAGCCCACAAGACGAAGACCTACGATGCACGACACTGCTCAGTTTGTACCGCAAGGCATCAAGGGCGATATCCTAAACATACTACGAGATCTGTTGAAGATACTACGAGATCTGTTAGGATACGTTCGATCCCATGATTCCTGTAATCTATTATTACTTTTCAGTTATCTCTTAGATCTAACCGACTTGTAACCCTGCCCTCAGACTATATAAGGCGGGCGGGGACCCCCTCAAAACACACGCAATATCATACGATAGCCAATACAAACCAACAGGCCACAGGAGTAGGGTATTACGTCGTGCTGATGGTCCGAACCTGTGTAACTCTTGTGTCTCTGTTACCTTCTTGTTATTGATTACGCGCACCTCTGTCGATCAATTTACCTTCGTGTGATACCCCTCGGAGGACTGCCGAGCATCTTTTGTCGACACCACGCCACTTTTCCCCCTATGGCTGGGAACAATCCCGTCGGGTGGACACCACTCGTCACGAGAGCCTCATCTTTTCCTGCGTTTGCGCTGCACTGACAGAAAATCTTTTCACACCGCTAGGGAGGCCAGCCCTGCGCCCGAAATACATCAGCCCGTGCTCAAGTCATATGGCTTGGCCCACGTCTTAGAGAGCCGGGTAAAAATATTGGCGCACAACAGAGGCAGACAGGCAACGCGCGAGGCAAAAAAATTCGGGACATTTCCTTTCCGCACACGCCCACGAGTCCTCCCCTCAGATCCGTTCATTCCCAATCTTCCTCCTCATCAATCGCTGGTCCCCGGCCACCCCCTACAGCTCTCCCCTCCTCACCACCGGTCCTCGGTCACCTTCCATGGCTCTCTCCTCACCGCAACCCCCATAATCCCCCTCCTCTCGGACTCCTTTCTCTTCTTTTCCCTCCCCTCACCCACGAGATCTAGATCCGCTTGTGAGTAGTTGTGGCATGAGCCGGCGGCGACCTGCGAGCACGCAACGAGAGGAGCACCCCGTGGAAGTGGAGGGCGCGATGGCGGCCTAGCAAACGTCAATGAGAAGTTGTGTCTGCTTCCCGCTGATGGCAGCGTTGCGGAGATGGTGCTCCTCTGTGTCTCTCTGTGCCTCTTGCGTCCTTCCCCATGACCCCATCTATTCTTCCCCATGTACTCTAATCCCTTCTCTCTTCATTCAAATCACTAAAATCAGGTTCACTGTACAGGTGCACTCCGTCCTCCCCATCAGGTTTTGGGGGCCATCCCTGCCCAATCTCAGATTAGGGCCACCTGACCTTCGTGAGAGGTACTTCTACTTTCATTACTCGTTTATTTTTTTTCAATTTGATGCACATATTCGTTCCCTATACTTCCAATTGAATTTCATTTGAAAAGTTTTTTTTATTTGATGCATAGATTTATTTTTCCATCTAGTTAAAAGGTGTGGCACAACCGTCTAAAATAACTCACTTCTAGAGGTGCTTGTCTTCCGTTAGATACTAAACACCCCAAGAGTGAGCTAATTTAACAGTTCTGCCGAGCACACCTCACGGAGAAGGCGAAAATCCACATTTTTCGATAGGATCATAAATGGGAGAATAAAGCTTACAACATTTTAGCCATTCCTTACCTCACTTTCCATGCAATATCGTAGTATAATATTTATTGTTTATAACAACGAGAATATAATCATGTTATCAGAGTTTCAGCAGAAATAAAATCATTTAGTGACAAGTTAAACATTAACATGATGATCCGTTATATACATTATAACAGGTTATAAGTTTTTCCATTGTAAAACATTTTGGGTGGAAGTTTCAAATAAATTCTATGTCTGCAATGTTGAGGAAATCCTCGCTGAGCCCACCAGGAGGTTTTCGCACACAAGTGTCAACTCTAGCATCCACCTGTCACCTGCAACAGGGTAGGACAAACCCTGAGTACTCAATTTTACTCCGCAAGACTTACCCGTCAGGAGGAAAGAAAAGACTCGAAGAAAATGCAAGGCTATCTAGTTTGTGGATTTATTGCATCTACAGGAGCATTACTAAACGTGCATCCTTATATTCAATTTTATTAGCAGTCATTATTAGTTCATTAACTAACCATTCTATGTAAGCACCTATGCTACTTTTAAGCATATGATAAGCAATCAGAACTATTTTACCATCTTTCATATTTCAGTTCTTACTACGGTGCTATATCATAGCCAAGCCGTACCGTATTACACGGCAATTCGTAAACCAATGTATCCCAAATGGGTACCACAAAACACACCGCTTGTACCCCGACACAAGCGGGACCAACCCACCACTCTCTTATCAAAAGGTCTAGGTCCCGTCCAAACTTAGACTCTAAGCCTCCACACCTGAGTCCCGAACTCAGTGTGGTGCTTAGACCTCCACCATCCCAGCCTCCAATTAGTCGGTCCAAAAAGAGCCGAAACCCACGATAAGAGAGCAACGAGCATTCCCGCTCCCATAAGCAAGTATGTGCTCAGGATAATAAGTCTGTGACCTGACTAGAATCCAATGCAACGGCCGGTTCTTAACCGACATAGGCGGAACAAGTGCAATCCGAGCCTCGCTCGAATGCCTAACCAAGTCTAGATCCAAAGTATCATTCCGCCCGGTCTCTAATTATCATTCATATATATTCCCTGTGACAGTAATATAATAACAACAATAATATCTTTCATATCTCTCGCGAGTGACAAGTAATCACTCGACTTCTACCGGATCCTATAGCATAGCAATCTATATGATCCTGACATACTAGTAGGACTCATAGATAAGGATATATATATGCAAGTGGTTTTCATTCAAGTCCTTAAACTTAATGCATAAGCATAAAATAAAGTGCAGAATAATAGGGGTTATGCACCGGGGCTTGCCTGGGTAAGATGTAACCAAAAGTTAGCATTCTCTTATGGTGACACAATCATCAGGCACCATCTTTTTCGCTACTTCGAGCATCTCCATGACGCATCGTTGTTCCTATTATGATATACGTGGGTGCAACGCATAGATGTACATAATCAACGACAACCGAAACTCTTAGAAATTCGATTACGCCTCGCAAGCTAACGAGATAGCTCTAACGTGCTAGGCTACGTACCTAGGTTGTCGAACTAGACGCTAATTCCCCACAATGTTTTAGTTATAAAATCCCTAGGTGTTTCGGCATTTTATTGATTTAAACATATATTTTCGAACTATGGCTCATTTAGCTACCTTAGCAAACTAATTATTATGGAGCTACAAAAATTACAGTGAGCATCTAATAATGTTAGGAATCTACTGTAAAAATTTCATGACCAAAGCTATTACCAATTTGCCACAAAAATTCCTACAATTATTAATCTAAATAACATTAAACACTTTCAAATGATTTAATAGACCTTAACATCAACACAAACATGTATAAACTAACCATACTATTAGATAGACAACATTTTTAGAAACTCAACAAAATTTATTTCACAATTTTTGGACACTTATATGAATTGATATTAATTATCCAAGATCAGCCCAAAAATAAAATGATATAACTATTTCTAATTTCTTAGGAAAAAGAAAAAGCAAATTCGGCCTCGCGGCCCACGACGACGCGGTCCACGTGCGGGGGAGCCCGCGTGCGCGCTGACGCATTTGCACAAAAGTCTCCGTGCTTTAATAAAATAGCGCGTCCACTATGCACGCTATTCACGCAGTCAGCAATCATGCACTAATGACCCTATAATAATTCACCTTCGCATCGGGGAGGTCCTAGGCGCCCCCGCGCTCGCCGGCGCGACGGACATGGGCACTGGCTGGCCATGTCGGCCACCTAAGGTTCTCACCGGCCTAGCTAGCCGGCCGACCTCCATCTG